TAAACATGTTGTAAGGAGGGTTTCTGGTTTAACGGCGTGTGGACAAACAGGGCTTCACTTCAGGATAATGCAGAGTGAAACAAGGAAGAAACCGACGTTATGATTACAATTTGAATCTTTGTTATTTGACTTTCATTGTCTTGATTATACGTCCTTGGATATTTGTTACGATCTGTTTAGCTTAATGCTAAATATGACCTTGGCTGATCCATAATAGGTTTCAAATTATATTCTCTGTCGTGTCATTGTCCATCTTAACCATCGTAGTCTTGTAAACTTTTCTGTGGCTGTGAAGTATTAATTTGGTATTTATATGTATTGATACAGTATCAACAAAATTATTACTGATACATCAATATCAAGATATAAAATTACATTCCTTATGGCATGTGCATTTACATAAAAATACCCATAAGAACACATTATATGCATAGATTTCTTCAAAAGACAACACTCTTATACTGTTTAATTTGACAATATTGTGGTCAGTGGTCATTGTCGCATTTGAGCAGATACTAGTACCTGGATAAGTACAGTATATAAATGAATAATATATTAATAATTAACAAACCATGTCCAATAATTTATGTTGTTTTTGCTTCACTGAATATAACAAATAAAACATCAGCTGCTGAATGGTTATTGTATTCCTGAATTAATATTCATATTCTTTACCCTATATTCTTGATACGAATCATATTCGCCTCATAGTGTAATTGTTGCAGCCCTACACATACCCATTTCACATTGATTGTGTTGTCAATTCTTGTGTGTACCTATGAACATCTAGGATAGAATAGGTCTCCAGCAACCCATGCTTGCTGCAAAGGGAGACTAGGCTTGTTGTAAGAGGTTACTAACGGGATTGGGTGGTCAGGCTCGCTGACTTGGTTGGTGCATGTCATTGTATCCCAATTGAGTAGATTGATGCTCATGTCAATCTTTGGATTGTCTGGTGCAGACTTAATTATAATGAAATTTACAGACTGCCGCCATACAGCTGGAATATTGCCGAGTTCGGAGTTAAATCAACAACTGGTGTACAAGATGCATTAGGGACATGCAAGAGATGCAGCTGTTCCTCGATACATTATTTCTATGCAATAACTGCATTAGCCTCAAGGTTTATTGTACATTATATATGTGCTGCATGAACTAGTGAAGACAATATGCTGGCAAATATTTTATTGACAGATTCTCAGGATTGTGCTATGTACTGAATGATTCGATTATGTTTGTGGTAGGAGACAAATAACCTTATCACATCTTAATAAGTTTGTAAATAATTGAAAGGACATTTTTCTGCATTAATGATGTTTTGAATGAAAAGTATTTTAAACATTTATGAACAATTTGTCGGAAGCCTATAGACTGTTGTTCTGAAGCTCCATGCACAGTTCAGTGAAGGAATTAATAAGTTTCCTTTCAATGGAAAGTGCTGGGAGTAGGTGTTGGTTTAAGTTCAACCGAAGATACCACTGAAGCTTGTGAGTGTTAAACTCAGTTAAAGAATTGTTCAGTGATTTGGAATAAAATCCCCACATCACTTTAGTGCTGGGAGACAGAATGGCTGGTGTCAGAGCAATAATCACTTAACCATTGTTTGCCAAGTGACATTGTGGCCCAATGATGTGTCCACTGCACAGACAAAATGTCTGCATGTGGCTGTGTCATGATCGGACAAGCTGGCTCAATGCACTGATGTCATTGCTATTTTTAGCAGGGGATTCCCCTCTATCATGACACAAGCTTGGCAGACATTTTCTTTCACTGTCGGGAGAAGTTGTTGAATGAAGGTCAGTGTTTCAATGTGTTCATGGACTGTGTTTACATATCCAGGGATGTCCTTTCCTCTGTGAAGCTGGTCCTTGTGGGACTTTGAAGACTCTAGTGATGTTTTCACAGTGTTTGGGTTATCTAGTTTAGATATATCTATTTTTGAGTCAGATTTTTCCCCCACAATGCTTCTTCCTGGTTTGGACTTGAGTGACATAGAAATCTTTATATAGATCTGTCATCTTATCAGGTAATTCTTTGTTTCTGGACGTATAAAGTGAGTTTTCAACATCAGGAAGTTTTATGGATAACAGCTTCCTGCTTCATCATTTCAAGGGATAGGCTGGTCAGAAGTTTCATCCCAAATGCTGGTTTCTTGTGTTGCCTCATGTAGGTCAGACAAAAATAATCTGCTCCAATGAGGGATATTTTATTTGATAACAAAGAAATACTATTGCATGTGGTTGTCAATTTCCTTAATCTTGTTAATAGTGTTATCTTGCCTGTTGGTTCTGTGTATGTTGGCCTGGAGACCTAGTCCTGCAGTACCTGTGTTATGTGATACACTTATCATGCCTATAAATACACCCCTGTGATGATTGTGTCATACCTGCATTTACTATCGGAAAAGATTATATGTGCTAGAAGAGTTCAGGTAATTGGAGAGCTGAATATGATTATATCCTGATCAAACCATTTTCTAGCATTAGATGTGAAGTTGGCCTTGAGGCTTTCTGGAGGGATGTTAAATTGGGGACCCCTAAATTTGTTGTTCATTCTTTGTTTCTGAAACTGAGTTGTGGTATTGTGTAATGGCCAGCCCTCTATGTCTGTTTGATATGCCCATCTGAACATTCACGTGTAGCACACCTTGGCCAACTGTTGCCAGGTTGAATGTTGTCATTCCCAGTATTCCCTCATCATTAGACAGCTTCAAGGCTTTGAAAGCATTTAGAAGTGTCACCCATAAGGAAGAGAATTTATGGATGTCAACTTCTTTATTGTGAGGAACACAATGTTTCAGAGTCTATACTTGCTCCTTCATCATCACCTGACGAAGGAGCAAGTATACACTCCAAAATGTTGTGTTCCTCATAATAAAGAAGTTCCATAAATTCTCTTCCTTATTAGGAGCCTTGTTTGATTGGACTGGAATTTTTGTTCATGTTCCTTGGCAACTGGGGTTTTAATACCATTCTTGAAATCACACATAGGCTTTTAAGTCATGAAGTTATTTGATACAATGTCAGGGTTTCCGATGGGTTCAGAATCTAGGACATTGACAGATTGTTTTACACAATGTCCTAACGATATTTCTCAGTTGTAAAGGTTTAAACTTATATCCTATTATAATTTGCAAAAAGCATAAATATATCCCATTTATCTCCAGCAAATCCACTGTATGTTTATCACAGTACATGTGTTGCTGGCTATTGATGGGCTCTGGGTTATTGATACTAAATGGTGAGGGAGTTTAACACTGAAGCCTGTAGTAGCAGTGCCATGGTCTACAGGGCCCAGTCTTGTGTTTCCCGATACTTGCTGTGCACCGAATAATCAGTTAGTTGATCAATCTGGACCATCCAAACGATTATTGAAAGTTGATCTGTCTAATTGATAAAGCAGTTCCGTTCATTAGTTTGCAGTTAGAATATATATTTCTAAATACTATATTGAAATTTGCTGAACCTTTGCACACTTACATTATGATATTGTGTCAAAGAAAGTAATAGAAAGTCTTTGTAGTGCTGGTAATGGGGAAAGGCAGGGAGATTGGACTAACCAGGGGTTTATGTAGACCGGGTGAGAGGCTGATAATCGTAACCAAGTCAGGGCCAATAAAGAAGAAGATGCTTTCATGTTTTGTTTTACATTATTGCATCAGATGTAATGTTAATAATGTCAATAGAAATTAAGAAAATACCTATATAAACTCCCAATTTTGAACAAATTACACTTGTTTCACAATTTGCTTGTCAAGGTCACTTAGTTTTGAATCCAAGATACGTCCCAGTTTACATGTATGAAAAAACATAACAATTACATTAAACTATGGTTATAATGAACTCAAAGGAACTGCTAATTTTAGTTCATTATAACCATACTTTGTTATAAGTATATATACAGCAAATGGACAGGACAAAAAAATGTATTTCCGTCAGTTTGTTATGAGCTTGTTCGTTGTGAACATAATTTACTGTATTGACTAAACCTAAAATATATTATGTTCTTTGTAATGCTGTCAAAATGCTAATAATGTGGTGTCAATAATTGTTATCGATAATCATTATCAATACGTTGACTATTTTTCGGTTGATATTTTGATATTTCCAAATAGTGGGTGAGCTGGGGCAGCTGAGTGGTGCTAGCGTTGGCTCATCAAGCAGATGGAATCTTTCAGTGGGTACACTGTGCAAAGACCAAATTTGGTGTCCCTAGTTATGTTGGAACATTGCTAGCAGTAGAAATGTATTCTCCATATACCGATGAATGATACCATGTTCTCCGTACTAACTGCCTCGTTGTACAAAGCGATCTTAACTCTAAGGTGATTGTAACTCCCATACCTTAACATAGATTGACGACAGTTGTTGCGCTAAGGTTGTTTTGTACAACGGCACCATGCTCCATAAAACTGGACAGAGGCCGCAGGGCGCAGTCAGGTCAGATCGCAGAAGGGCCTGATAGTCCTTGTTTTCACATATTGACCTCGTCAATTGACTATTCAATGGAAATGCAAGATTCTTAATAGAGGTATAACAATAACATTTATGAGCACCCCCCTATAAGACATAAATATGCATGATAGTCCATATTTTCTTATGTATATTACTCATTTTGTACAGAAAACATCAGTGAAGTGTTGAAGGGGTGAAAATTGCGGAGTAACTATTATGGAACAAGCTTTACTTTTAATCACGTTTGAACTCAGTTTGTTCACTTCGGCTCAGTCTCTGAAAACAAATAAAACTTTTTCTGTTTGATTTTAATAGCACCCCTTTTGTCAATTTTCTTAGCACCTGGGTGCTTATTACACCAAATACAGTAGTACTATTATTCTGCACCAGAATTTCACCTTGATCATGGTTAAACTATGCCTAAAACTGGTGTGAACATGTGTAACACTCCACTATTAAGAAACATACATCATTATAAAGTTTCATAAGCATGATAAGATTGGTATTGAATGTGGGACTTATCCTTAGTATTTTCTCAAATTTCAGAGAGACCATCCTGAAACAAAATGGGGAGAAAGAAGATACAGATTGCTCGCATTAATGACGAGAGGAATCGGCAGGTATTGTCCTTCTGTCCTGTACAGCAGGACATCCTGCACGTGTAGCTCGAAGCAGGATGTGGTGCTGGGAGATTGTTCGATTCATGGAAATGGGAAATGAAATGAGCTCACTTTCACTCTCATTGTAATGCTAAGCCTTAGGTTGTCACAAGCAACAAGAAAAAATGCCTTTAACAGGGTTAGAAACTAAGATTTTTAGCTCACTAGTCCTTATAATAATAACATATAGCAAAACCCTTAAAAATGGCAAATTTCTACTAGTCCTCAGGATATCTTAACTATTGGCCTGCTTGGCAAGGACTACAGGACTACTGCCAATTTCTAACGCAGTTTAAGATAGAGAAGTAGTGTCAATGTTTTCCTGTTTTGGAGTGAGTTGGGTTTAACGCCTCTTTTAACAGTATTCCAGTTATATCATGGCATGTCAGCTTAATGTGGGAGGAAAGCCCGAAGTGATGCAGGTCTCAGATGTTTACCACTTCGTTGAAACACACAAGCACGGGTATGGTGCTGACAAACCTAGAAACTGTCCGTGCCCCCCCCCCCCCCCCCCCCCCCGTTTTGGAAATGAGAAACAGTTATTATGTTTTTTTTCATACTTTGTTGTTTTATTTAACCTCTTCCCAATACAGGGATTATTTTACTGACATTATTAGGTACGACAGCCAATTTTATATAAGGAGTACAGCATTTTAAATTTTTGTCAATGCAGATTAAACTATTGAAAGATGTATGAGATTTTCAATCGGGCTGAATAAATGTTGATTTCACCCACTGACAAGGCTAGAAAGCAAGGGCCTACTGAAGTCTATGATTTTCTATGATAGTAGTTTCATCAAAGGGTCCCCTTATTCTGTAATTATGTAAATGGAATTTGTGGTTCATGGTGTCTTCTGTTTATTATCAGGTGACGTTCACCAAGCGCAAATTTGGTTTGATGAAGAAAGCATACGAACTGAGTGTTCTATGCGACTGTGAAATTGCCCTCATCATCTTCACTAGCAACAACAAGCTCTATCAATATGCCAGCTCCGACATGGACAAAGTATTGCTCAAGTACACAGAGTATAACGACACCGTGGTCAGCCAAACTAACAAGGACATCGTCGATGTGAGTACCTCAGCTGCTGTCCAGGGACTTTGTTGTAGTATCACTGACTATATATTAATACTGTTTCTGCAATGAAAATTGAACAGGCTTGTATCCCCTGCCACGAAGTGTGGGGAAGGGGGGGGGGGAATATAGGAACGGAGTCCGTCCTTCAGTTCGCTTCTGGAAGGGGACCATTTACACACAGATTTTACACTCTGATGTTACTGGTCATGATCTCAAATGAGTTCGAATACTGCATTAAATGGGGACAAACTGAATATTTTCATGCTTTTTTAGGAGATACTTGTCAAGACTGATTTCGAAAATTGGTGCCGTGAATGAATGAATGAGTTATGGCCCTTGATCCATGTAATTTTACTCGGTGCATAGTGTCTGCAACGGGGACAAGTTTCTCAGAAACTACTGAAGTTAGTGTATCTAAGATATACTTATCAAGACTGAGTTCATTTTTCCAGAGAAGGGTCCTTTTATGTGTATTAATTTCACATGTAATCATTTTTCTAATGACGGCCCAAGTGCTTTTTGAGGCTTATAGGACTCTTTTACAGCATATTTTCATACTATATGAACGAACAAATTTCTAATGTGACCTATGTCGGGAGATAGTGATTTTTTTCTTGTTTTGTTTTGAATAATAGCTTTTATGATGTTTTTTAACAGGTCACATTCATGATGAGAATTAAGGGTTGAAAGTGAAATAATGGACCATTTGTGTTGCCAGAAACACAAGTATCGTCTTTGTTTCTTTGGGGGTCCAACTGAAGTTGCAAATGTTCTTAAACTGAAAGTGTGTGTGTTCCAGCTGCTCAGTAAGAAAGAGCACAGAGGCAACGACTCCATGGACGGCGAGGACGAGGACTACACATTGACGCCACGCACAGAGGAATCCTACAAGCGGATAGATCAGGAATACGCTCGGGTCATGCAGCATGGGGGAGTCAAGGTAGGATCGGTGTCCGAAATAGCTGCCTGCCTTCTAAGGGTGCGCGGTATTACTGGTATATCGGGAAATTGAGGTTCATTCTTTCTACGATAAGTGTCACAATATCATGTTTTAATGCTTGGTATATCGGGTGCTTTCAGACAGCAATTTTTATCATGTGTTTAATGTTATACACTTGCTAAATACATGAACCTTCAAAATGTTTCCGTAATTCCGAAATGCAAGTTTGCATTCTGGAGTTCTTCTGTGGCAGTGGTGTAACACCAAGTCATCACTGTCCCGGAGCGTGCATCCTTGGTATCTATTGAATGGGTAAACATGCTATTCCAGCATCTTGTTTTGTTCCATTTATGAACTTCAATTCCTGCATTGATGTTTCAAATTGCTTCTGTCCTCAAAATTTTGAATTATACAATATATTGTGATAAGTATCACAGTACACCCTTGTACATTGTAAAATATTGCGATGCACTTTCAACATCCTATACCCATTCCTTCTGCCTTCTATCCTGCGGCTGGTAATATTTCTGTCAGGATAGGTGAAATTTTTCCAACCTCCCCGACTCCCTGGAAGAAAATTACATTTCTACACTGAAAGTGAAAGTTTTTAATCAGACTGAATGATGTTCGTGGGGGTGTTCAGGTAAGTAGCCTAGATTGGGGTGGAGGGTGTTCAGTCAGAAAGCATTGATTGGGGGAACATTGTAAATACAAGGACTTTCTCATTATGTGAAAATGCTTTAAATGCATTAATGCAGATATAATGAGATCTGTAGTTTCATGTTGTGTAGAAAATAGAAAATGTCCTGGTTTCATATTCCTGTAAACTGAAAATAATGAACAGCTGCTATTTTGGAATAGCCACACACCTAATAGCAAGGTTGTGCAGTTGGCACAGGAGTTTGTCGCAGGAACTTCATGTTGTTTCAGGGTCGCAAAACTAGTTATAACATTTCCCATTGTTTGGATGAATAAGGCCATGATTTACCCTAGTGCCTTGTGTTGGTTGTCTGTCATCTAAAAGATTGGCCACTCTCCATAGAAAGTATGACTATTTGTCAATAACATGTGGGTGGAAAGCCCGAAATGTCTGCTCCACAGAAGCTGTGTGAGGACCTTAAGTGCCAAGGGGTCAATATGTGAGAGTATTTCAGTACAGACAATGCAGGTCAGTTTTAGTCTATGCCCCCTGACCAGCTTCTTTACCAAGTTATGTTTGTAAGCACCTGTACTAAGACCAAAACATTCACTGCATATACTGTCAAGTTTAACAAACATTCCCTGTGAACATCCGAGGTAGAATAGGTCATCAGCAACCCATGCTTTCCGCTAAAGGCGACTACGCTTGTCGTTAGAGGTGACTAACGGGATCGGGTGGTCAGGCTATCTGACTTGGTTGATGCACGTCATCATATCCCAATTGCGTGGATCGATGCACATGTCAATCACTGGATTGTCTGGTCCTGACTCGATTATTTACAGACTGCAAATGAACAAGGTTATGAAGGAAATGAGAGACTGCTGTCATATTGCTGGAATATTGCTGAACGAGGCGTTAAACAACAGACAAACAAACCTGCCTATACCTATGACTTTAACGTAAGGCTTAACATAATTTTTACTGACCTGCAAAATTATGATCATGCAACAGACCTTACGTTTTTGTGATTTCATATTCATGAAAAAATTAGGTACAATTTCTAACATGGAAATTAGCAATTTCAAAAACGTATTCCTAGGATTAAATAATTGGTAATTAAAGTATGTTTCCTGTGTAATAATATTCAGTTATCTATTCATTGTCTTCATAGTAGCGAGTCAATGTTGGCATGTTTCATGGCTGACGAATTCTATATGTGACCATTACTTATACTCTACCTTTTTCGTTAAGAATGTAATAAAATTTGGAAATCGCTCAGTTTCAAACATATGTTCCTTTTTTTTTGTATGTGTGTACAAACTTTTGACCTTGCTTTCATCATGCTCTTACTTTCTCTCAAAAGGTATATTTGGCTGTGGTAGCTTAACTTTGCATGTTTGTTTCTTACAGCTCCAGATAACATTTTAAGCAATTGAGTTTTTACTCGAAGGGTTCTATTTTAATTGGGTTATTACATTTTTCATTGGGTAACCAATATTTTTTCACTCATGTATTCATCATTCTATTGGGTTTTTACTACAATGAGAGAACATTTTAAGATTAAAAAAAAATGAAATAATGTTTTAGACATATATAACGGTTCTATATATATAGGCCTGACTCGGAAAGTAAATTAGCTTGTAATTATGTGTTGGAAATTTGCTCCGTTGTACACATGCTGAAAAAGCGTCATTGGGTATTTACGTGTGCTGTTTTTACACATTTTGGTTTTTCATTGAATGCATGCGTTTCTGTATACGTTATGTGAAAGTAATTGGGTTTTGAATATTTATGGGAGGTATTTTACACAAATACGCTGCTTATCTGTAGCTCTGGTTTCTCCTAAGAAAGCAATAGATGTTAGTGTTCTAAGTGTCTGCCTTTGTTGATATTTGAACTGTTGACTACTTATCCAGGCGGGCTACAGTGCCATGGCTGCCTTGATTTATTATTTCCAGACTGACTTGATTAAGCTAAATATTGCTGACTTGCATTTGACAATATTCACTCTCTCATACATATTGGGCCTGGGTACACTTCTTGGTCTGTAATGGTATTGTGTTCACAATAGCTGCTGGTCACATGGTGGTGACCGATCTCCGGGTCAGTCTGAATCCATCTATGTATTGTATGAGATTTCCTCTGGCTACAGAACCTGGCCACGTACCAGCCCGCGTCGATGCCTGTGGCAGTGCCGGTGCAGTCACAGTTCAGCTCCTCCCAGACGTTCACCACAACAGCCGTCACGCAGACAGCCGCAGGGGCCAGCGTGGCCCCCACTGTTGTCCTTCTGCAGCCCCCTGGGACCCCAGTGTCCAACTCTGCAAGTCCCTCTGGAGTATCAGGTGAGTGAGTGAGTGAGGGTGGGATGGCACTGGCGTGGCATATTTGCTATCCATGTATCAGGTATAGAGATGTGTAGGCGTGAAATAACAAATCTTGTTAAGAAAAGTATAATAGACGTTACAAATTGCAGTAAAATACGTTTATAACGAACATGGTTAAAACAAACTGACTGATATTATACACTTATTTCTTGGTCGTGGCCATTTGCTGTATATATTCTGTATATATGCTTGTAACGAACTACGGTTATAACTAACTGAATTTAGTGGTCCCTTTCACTTTGTTATAAATGTAGTTTACTGTACGAATGTTTTGCTAACCTGGAAAACGCCTGATTTTTCTGTAATGGTTTCGTCCAGGTAAAGACTCTGTTTCAATAAATATAAGTATAATCTCCATACACACATTTGCACATACACATTAAAATAATCATCCCCGTATTGGCCAAATTCCTACAACCCCAAACTGGTTCTTGCTTTTTACACGTGAGCGCAGCCTTGCCAGTATGCAAATCCAATCTGATGTAACATCAGGACAGCCATACTTTTGTCTTCTGTACCTGAGACACAACATTATAAACAGACTGTGTTTCAGGTGTCCGATTGACATCCAGTCCTCTACCTGCGAGGACGTCGCCAGCGCCACCTAGCACCTCGCCAGCCCCTCGAGAATCACCAGGTGAAACCGCTGGAGCGAAGAAACCAAACCTGAAAGTGCTCATACCAGACCGACAACCAAATTTGGTGAGTCCCGTTCGTCAGCCCAAAACTGGCAAATAATTAAACCCCAACATGTTGTCCTCACATTTGCATGGAATCTGTGTTAGTAGGGAATTAGACTTCATCAACGCTACTGTATTATGCATCTTTATACCACCCTTATCCAGACATCTCTGATCAAATGCGGTTTATACTTGTTCCCTGATCAGTGGATTCGTATGCGTTCCAGTTATCATTCTGAACTCCCTGGGAAGAATACAACCAATGCTGCCTCCAGGCGTTTTACATCCACCTCACTTATACGGCATCTGTCCCTGATTGGTGAACAGAGTCCCTTGCCCAGGGTGACACCACATGTTGTGACGCCTTTGTTTCGGGTGTATGTTCCTATTTGTGGGTCCCAATCATCTAAGGCGTTGCCAGGATCTGCCTGTCCGGGGTCACAGATTGCCCCCGATAATGATCCCCTCATCTCCTCAAGACCCATTTTCCCCCACATGGAGCTGCCATCATAGGACTCAGATGCTGCTCGTAGTCAGGGTCAATTTATTGTGAAACAGAAACTGTCGGTTTGTACCATAGCCAAACATGAAGTTTTATTAAGTCATAGCACCAACATAATCGTTAAAATGTTAACAAACATTACTTAGGGACCAGTTCAAAAGTGTGATGTTGGCTAAATATCTTAAGGGATGGGGAGTCAATGACCCTGCAAGGTTTCCACCCAGTAGAATAAACCTGCCTGATTTCTCAGTGTTTTATGTCCCAAAACTTATGGAATTGTTTATCCGACATCAGACTTTGGCTCTTTATAATATTATATGATGCACAACAGTTCACATCTAATGTGGATGTCATGTTTAACAGGGTCATCCTCGAACGACGCTGGAAACTCCTGTAGTGTCCACAATGGCTACACCGGCTGCTAACACGAATCCGTCCATACCAACGTCCCTACTGTCAGGTGAGAAAACACTGGCTGTGTTCGAAATTAGGACAATTTACTCCCAAGATTTTTAAAAATCAGGAGGGACTAGTGACATTTACTTATGGATTGGTACTTTTACCTTTAGGTTGGAACAGTGATTGAAAGTAATCAAGATAGGCAAGGAGTCCTGGGCCCACTTGCACAAAGTGATCTTAGCTAAGATGATTCAGAGGGAGCAATCTCAAGGACTACAAGATACCCCACTTACATTATAGATGGCAACTTTGTTGCAAATCTTAAGAAAATAATAGTTAATAATTTAAACATAAACTCCACTTCCAGAATACAGTAGCCATATGCTACTGTTCGGGATACTCCACAAGAATATATCATTTTTTAGTGTGGTACATGAGTCGTCTGTATTGTTGACTGAGTTACCTCCCTTAGGGCATGGAAGACAATGTCTAGACAATAACCCTATAGTGGAGCTCTCTATATTATCACTGCCATCAGTCACTGCTAGATAGCCACAACCATGCATAGCGTTGAACTCTCAAATGGCTGATTGTCAATACTCTTCTACCTGTTTCCATTTTACTGTAATGACATTATCAAATACATACCTAAAAATATGTTATGTCACTGCAGGGTTGCAGGGCACATTTCAAGATTCTTGTAATGGTCCCATGTACACTGTTAGTGTTAAAGTGAGATAAGCTGTCACGCACTGGGAGGGAGTTTGTGTGCACATAAACAATAGACGTCATTTTGAATTATCGTTATTTTCTCCAACATGACCAGAGTTGATTCAAAAGGCTCAACAATTTACAGTTACACTTTAAGTTCATTTACTTTCTTGTTGTTTTGTTCACTTTGTTCACTTTGTTCACTTTGTTCACTTTCGGACTGTTCAGTTTGCTTTGTTTTGATTCTTTTCGTTAATGTAAATTATCAAAATCAGTTTGTTTATTTTGATTGTGCGTAAGTATGGCGTCAACATTGAGATGTGATAAGTGTGGGGTCTGTCATTCCAACATTCCTCACTTCAGTGAAGTGTCAGCTTGTGCTTGCAGGACGCAGCAGGTTTATCTTCATGGACAGCTGAACTGATTATAAGGTCAATGTTGGATTAATCTCGCTTCTGGAAAAAACTAGAGAAGTCTATCTGACAGGTTGTCCTTTCTTCCCTTGCAGGCGAGTTCCAGCTAACAAGTGCAGACCTGACAGGGTTGTCTCCCCTTGTTCAATGGTCGACAGGTCAATGTCCTGGCCCACTCACTGCAGCTGTCCAAGCGTCGGGTCTACAGTTCACACCAGGGTATGTCAATTCCACGCTCCGGCCGTGATCCTCAAACTTGTCATTGATGACCCAGCAGCAAACCTATTAATATTCCTATGGATTCAGTACAAGATGTGGAAACATACATGTTAACAGTTTCTACTTATTACAGTCTGGCCCAGGTGCATTGACTCAGCGATGTAACTGGGGTGGTGGGGTAGCCTAATGGTTAAAGTGTTCGCTCGTCACGCTGAAGACCCGGGGTCGATTTCCCACTTGGGTACAATGTGTGAAGCCCATTTCTGGTGTCCCCCGCTGTGATATTGCTGGAATATTGCTAAAAGCGGCGTAAAACCTCGCTCGCTTGCTTGCTCTCACTCACTCACTCACTCACTCACTCACTCACTCACTCACTCACTCACTCACTCACTCACTCACTCACTCACTCACTCACTCACTCACTCACTCACTCTCACTCACTCACTCACTCACTCACTCACTCACTCACTCACTCACTCAGTGATGTAACTGGAATAATGCTGACTGTAAAACAGCATTCATTTTCTCCAAATCTCACACAGACACTTGGCTTGATTTTGTTGTGAACACTTTTGTACCTATACTTATGATTGTACTTGCAGTACAAGTAGTTTCTTTATTGTTTGGTTTGTTTCTTTCAGGGGTTCATTAACATTTGCTACAACATCGGGAGTGCCCATTTTAACAACCACATTACCCGTTCGAACAGCAGGAATGGGTATAAAAACCGAGCCGGTGTCACCTAACTCCTCGAATGCACATGGTCAAGGTCAAACTAGACCCACGCCTTCCCCCGGAGCGTCTGATGAACCGCCAGAGAAGCGGAGTCGAGATGGTTGATGCAGCTTTGCTGTAGGTGGAATGTAAATTATGGGGTGCATTTTGAGATATATAGCACTGATAGGGGATGTGAACCTGTTTGATACAAGTGTATATTCTGTGTACTAACGGATGCTATAGCTCATCAGTGGAACATACTACTCAACTTTTGACAGGGATATTCTGAGAGTCTTAATGGGACTGATCTAGGAGATGTCATGTGAATAATCTTCCACTATGCCATGAAACTGATGCAATTTCAGTTTTGTGTCAACTTATAGACAACAGCACACATTGTTATCTTTCAGTTTTAAAACAAACTCAGTTTAACTGAAATATCTTGGTATCCCTATCAAATGGTGTGTAGTATACAACTAGTAAACTGCTCACATTTTGTTCCTTGTGGAGTACGACAATGACGGTAACAGTATAACGAAGTACGCTGCTTGCCACGTGTCTATAGAGCAAACAAAGCCCATTGCACTTCAATACCTGCCACTCTTACATTTACACGAGAAATTGAATCATTTAAAGGAAAAACTAATCACTGGACTTTTATTAAATATTGATAACATTTTCATGTTGACATCTTACATTACATTGTCATCAGTGTGTTATTGCAAGCTGATTCTTACATTTCCAACTTGGCCAAGTACAAGAGAGGACCCATCTGTGATGCTACGAATGCCTTACTCACATGCGTGGGACTTGTTGAAAAGTGTATTATCATCTGAGACCGGCCCCTTCTGTCTCTCAGACTTTGTTAACAAATACTGACACCTCTTTGTCGGTGTGTCAACTTTTACACAATGAGATGAAAAAATGTTCAAATTAATTTCTATTAAAATGTAGTATTTGGCAAAATTGAGAAATGGCATCTTGTTTTTATGTGTGTAAAACGTTGTTAAGTTTTATGTGATTTTATCACCGTTACTTTGGGGGGAAATTGTAAGCTACAATATAAAACCTTTTAGAATTTCTAATCATAGAATTTGTTTATGATGTTTATGTACAGTACAATATACCAAGTTTTCATTATCAATAGTGTTTGATAGGGGTTTGAAGCATCTCCCGCCACCAGTGCTATGTATAATATTAGTGTACAGTTTCTGACTGACAGAACATCTTAAGAACTCGGCCACTGCAAGGTTGGAGGCGGTGGACATCACTATGTCTGTATCTTTATCAAGGCATGTCTCAGTCTTCTTTGTTTGAATTATTTGACTGATGTTGTCCTGAAGGAAATGTACTCATTGCCGACCAACAAGGCCTGTCTGTTGTTTCCATCCTTGTAGGAACTGGTCATTTGTTATGTGAGTGAAGAGAGCTCTTCCACCCATCGGTTTACAGTAAGACTATTAATGCCCCAAACTGGAGGGACTTCGGAGTGACTCCCACAGTTCTTTTTATCCCATGATCCTTTTGAGAGGTAAAGATTTTCTTTTTAATGAAACCAATAGTGTGTTTTTTGTTGTTATTTTCACTATTTTAACATAAAGGTAATCTTCTTAATAATTGGTTAAAGGATTTAGGCAATTACATCTGAAATTAAAATTGTGCCAATTTAGACATGTGTTCATCGAAAGAGAACAATGTATAGGGTATGTTAGAACACATTACTGACGAACCGTTGTACTGCCTTGAATAACTGGGCTTTATGTTCAGATAATCTTTAATTGAGAAGGATCAAAACCTTAGATTCATTTACTAATACCATTGTTACCAACAGGGATTTAAGTAAAATAATGTGTAAATATGAAAAATTCAAAGTTGTCCCCTTAACAAATGACCAGTTGCTATGGCAATGTAAATTATCAGGTGTATTGTAGATACACACTTGCATGTCCGAGTGAGAGAGTGGGTTGTTATTGTGTGTTATTAAGGATTGTTAACCTATACCACGTAGGGTTATTAGTCGTATATCCCCCCCCCCCCCATTGGAGTTTCACAGACTTCACGTTACATATACAAAGCAATATTTGTATGTCATCCATGTTTTATCAGGAATACATATGTCACCAAGTACCCAATGTCATTTAAATTTCCAAGTTAAGTGCATTTGAAAATGCATAATATGTTTTAGGAGCCAATGTACTTAAACTCTGTGTTCATTTGGTGTAGTATGTTACAATGTTTCAAGATTTTAAACTTTTTTATTTTTTGTCAAATATAACAACCCATATCAGAGATGGTATGCGGTAAAGAAAGTTTTTATCTTATCTTATCTGATGAAAAAAATTCAATAAATGATATGAATTTCATGCAAAAAAACTTTGAATGTTTTTGAGAATTTGGCAACAGGAATTCCAGCATTGGGTTAGTTATATTATTGGAAGTTAAATCAATAAATATATAACCTGTTTAGTGTTTCCATCAAACTTTGCGAACCCAGGTGAAACTTGATGAGACTCGTACAACTCACCCATAGTACACATAGTACACAGAGTCGGGCTGACTCACCCAATAGAACAATCCTGAGTCTACAGTGAGACTATGGCCTGACTTAAAACTACAACATGCTGTTCTTGGTTATGACATCGAAACCAAATTTTGGCTAACATTACAATCCATGGATAGTGGCAGCATTGTGTTAAGATGCTGACTGTTGGATTTAGGTGGAATTGCTGTGAAAAATGTCCATGAATTACACACAGACACAATTATACAAAAGGATAGTTGTTTGTATAAACTTGAGTGTAATGTCCAAAACAGTTTTTATAAGTTTTGAGGGATACAACAGTCCACAACTACTATTTTCATAAACGGAAAGGCTGGTGCAACTGTGGTACATGTGTACGCTATTGTCATTCAGCTGACAAATGTTTCTTGTCAAAATTTACTGTATCATTTAAAATAATGCTTAGTAACTAAAGAAAACAGTCAATACAAGGGCCGGAACAGTAAACAATGTCATACTCTGTGAAAACAGATGGTGAGGAATAGCAGGATAGTGCAACATTTGCAAACTCTCCTTTTGCAGTCGCAGGTGGGGCGGAACAATTCCTGTGAACCATGTTCAGAGATTCCATAATTGCTTTTCACAATGGTGGATGTAGTCATAAAATATAAAATGAGAAATATGAACATGTGGGGGAGGGTAAAATTACTCATTTTAATGGCAATTATTACAAATTTTGACTTTATCATGTTTATCCACAAAATACTATGGTTGGCATCTCGTCACTGAAGGACTGACTATTCTTGGTATGACTGGGACAAGGGTGGTGCAGATCTCACACTGGTAGATATACAGTTTTACTACCCCCTCAGTTCCTGGTGAAACATGGACCGATCCCTTGATGTGCTCAGTTGATTAACACCAATTCATTACGTGTGTGTATATGTAGAAAGGCAAATCTATTTTTGAAAATTATAAGAAGAGTTGTTATACAAATCCATTTTGTTCTGCAGACCTGTCTACTTATCATTTTCACTCATATTTAGAGTCTCACTCTCATATAATAGAAACATCTCTTTGAAGTATATCATCAGATTGTTGTATTACTCTTGTGAATATTATGGTTTTGACACTTTTCATCCATTAGATCTATAAGACTTGTACAGTAGTGTGATGTTTGTATAGGCAGATGTTATTGACTAGCTTATTTCTTATACTAGTGTGACAAGTATTACCACATGTAGATTTCACTCGTCTATTGGTTTCAACCCTCTGACATTGTATCATACAGTGTATGCATATCATGTATATCGTCATAGCAGAACAGGAAATATACATTTTTTTATATACGCCTGACTGTACACTTGATCATCTGACTGGCGCAGGTGATGTTCTTGTGCCATATATTTCACCAGGGCACCTTTCAACAAAGTGATCTTAGCGCTAAGATCATCGTAACTCCCATAGTTTAACCTTGGCTTTCAATAGTTTTAGCTCTATGATCATCGTAACTCCCATCCTTTAACGTGGACTTACGAAAGATCATCATCGAAAGTCCCATACTTTAACCTAGGCTTAGGATAGTCGTAGCTCTAAGATCATCATCATAAGTCCCATACTTTGCTTAGGATAGTCGTAGCTCTGAGATCATCATCGTAAGTCCCATACTTTAACCTAGGCTTAGGATAGTCGTAGCTCTAAGATCATCATTGTAAGTCCCATACTTTAACCTAGGCTTAGGATAGTCGTAGCTCTAAGATCAATTTGTTGAACGGTCCCAGCACTAGACAGTTTGTGAATTGCTTGATTAACTCCTCATCAGCTGTAGACTCATTTCCCGTGTATGCCGTTCAGGCCAATAATGCATGGACTGTGCAGCATCTCCACACCAACCATGGAGCCGTGTCACTCAATCATCACAGATTTAACCTCCATTTCATTCAAATACAAGATCCTAACATTGACTATTTTTGTTTTCATTATTCATAAGTTCATGTGTCATTGCTAAAGGTTGTGCAGGAATAATTTGCCTTAATCTGAATGCACCTATTTGAATATTGACAACATGGTTTGATGACTGTAAAGAGGAAGTAGGATTGCAGAGGTCTCCTTGACCTTCAGGTTTGATCACAGGTTCTGAGGACAAGTGTTTATTGTAGTCGGTGATTAACTCCTCAACATTATTACAAACATTTGTTATTGCTGGATGGATTTACGATACTTTCACAGGTGTATGCATATGATGATGAAATTTTAGCTTGTTACGTTTTATCAATATTTAATTTAATTTCTCTTGTTTGCACATTATATTTTCTCAACAAAACAATCCTTTTTTTCAACACAAGTAGAAAGATGGAAACAATAAAGACAGCCACAGTAGAAAGAGCCATATATTACAGTAATGAGTATCAAGTATTTTTGTTAATAATTGTGGGAGTATTTTCGTTTTTTAGCATAATCTTTGAAAAGAAGTATATCATCAGATATTAAGGATGTATAAAAAAATAACTGCTTGAAAACTTGAAACACATGAAGCATGTGAGGCGAAAGCACACGCTGCTGTCCCGGCCTGTGATGCAGTGTCCATGCAGGATGTTGTTGCTCCTCTCAGATCTAGGCCCACTGAAGTAGGACGCATGCTTCCCAGGGAATAATCAGCTCACCTGGAAGGTCACCATCCTGGACACTCACATGGAACCGGTTGCACTGTACACTTAAATGTTAAGGCAGAAAATAGCGGTTGCACAAATGTGATCTCTGATTTGTTTCCTTAATTCTATTTCTAAATATTGCACGAATGTACTGGCACACATCTCACAAGGTCAGCAGAAGCTACTTGTTTTCTCCGTTAAATAAATCAAGTCGCAGGCTAAAGTGTAAAATAAATGAAATTTGGCACCGTATTTAGGTAAGGTCTTGTTTAATATATATTATGTTTGATGCATGACTTATTATATATATTGATGTGTGACAGTGGTCATGGGTGGGCCCAGGTGGCCCTTGGGAGAAGACACCACAAAAACGCTATGCCGAGTTACCTCCCTTCATCATCGCAACATCTGTTCCCCCTTCAACAGAAAATCAGCTATGTAACTGAAATACAGTTCAAAGCCCATCCTAGTTACCATACAAGGTTAGAAATTAAAGGGTTTTTTTAATTAGTCCACAACAATTATTTGATACAAAGTTGCAAGCTGACTAATGTTAATCCACAAGGAAATGTCACAAGTCCTTCCTGAATTTTACTTGTTTTGAATTAGCAGACTTTTGTTAATTTTAACTCTGTCATAGTAATATTTTTCAGTGGACAGGCAATGTAGTCAGTAATATTAACAAACAAGTCCTGTCAGACAATGTATTATCAGTATTGACACACGAGCAACATACTGTTTCTCATCTTATAATACACATACAAATGATAAAATTTTAAATAACTATTATTATCTAAACTGCAGACATAAGTGACTGTTGTTTTGGTCCTGTTGTTTTAAACAGTGGATAGTTGTTGTGATATCAGTGATGCCAGTGTGAACTGGCTGCCAGGGAGTTTGTACAGTACTAACAGATGTGTGTGTGTCCGACTGTTGTCACGACTGACCTTCATAGTCTGACGTAGGGTCATGTGACTTGTCACAACTGACCTTCATACGTCTGATGTAGGGTCATGTGACTTGTCACGACTGACCTTCATACGTCTGACGTAGGGTCATGTGACTTGTCACAACTGACCTTCATACGTCTGACGTAGGGTCATGTGACTGTTGTCACAACTGACCTTCATACGTCTGACGTAGGGTCATGTGACTTGTCACAACTGACCTTCAAACGTCTGACGTAGGGTCATGTGACTTGTCACGACTGACCTTCATACGTCTGATGTAGGGTCATGTGACTTGTCACGACTGACCTTCATACGTCTGACGTAGGGTCATGTGACTGTTGTCACGACTGACCTTCATACGTCTGACGTAGGGTCATGTGACTGTTGTCACGACTGACCTTCATACGTCTGACGTAGGGTCATGTGACTGTTGTCACGACTGACCTTCACAGGTCTGATGTAGGGTCAGGAGCCTGCTGGAAAGGAGGAAGACATGCATGTTTTGATGGAAAATAAGTAATTTTGTATTTGGTGCTTCGCGTGACATGTATCTTATTCAGACTTTTTCATAATACCTAGTGAATCATTGATCAGTTTACTGTCATCATGTGAGGTTAGATACATTCTGGTAGTCAATAAATGCCTTTTGTACATATTGACTTGTTATATTGTATTGTACTCTTGTAGCTGAGTTTTGTTTTCTTGTTGGTTGTTATACCCCAGCTTTGTGATGGTGGCCAGTGTATAATCGAGTCTGGACCAGACAGACCAGTAGTGCCGTGAGCAACCATCCACAGCAGTAGGGTATGATGACGACACACTGACACCGGACACCTGATCCACCCAGCACTGGGCGGTCGGGTAGCCTAGTGGTTTAAAGTGTTTGCTCGTCATGCTGATAACACGTATTCGATTCGATTTCTGGTGTCCACCCCCGTGATATTGCTGGAATATTGCTAAAAGCGGCGTTAAACCACACTCGTTCACTCACTCACTCAGCCCACCCGGCCACTCAAGCTACAGGGGTGTTTAGGTAGCCTTGTAGAGTGGAGTTCAGTGGTTTATGCAAAAATATCTATATTTTAATAGAAAGCAACTAGTCCCTCTAAGGCACTGCCAGAAACCTATGATTGTTGGTTCAAATGCTGGTTCGCCCCAATTATGTTTCTAGGCTTGTTAGCACCATACCCGTGCTTGTGGGTTTCACCAAAGCGGTAAACATCTAAACCTGCATCACTTCAGGATTTCCTCCCACTTTGAGCTGACCAACCATGATAGCGTAAAACACAACTCACTCATTTCCATGACAAAACAGAAGTATATGGCTTCTCTCACTCACTCACTCACTCACTCACTCACTCACTCACCCATGCATTCACTCATTCCAGTGACAAAAACATGTATATGCTCACTCACCTGGACGTCTGTTTACCTTGCAATGTATTACAACAACTGGATGCCTGTTGACATTCAAGAGGTGGATGTGGTATATCTTGTCACGGGATTTGTTTCAACGACTGGCGAGAGAAAGTAGGTGAGGTTTAACATACCCAGGACTGGAGTGGATAGAAAAACTGTTCATCACAGGATCACTCCTAGAGAAGGGTTTGGTGTAGTGTGACGGGATCACTAGAGCAGTGGCCGTGGTCTCATGTCTTGCTGTGACATGACAGGATCACATGAGCAGTGGGCGTGATCTCATGTCTGGGTGTGACATGACATGATCAGTAGAGAAGTGGGTGTGGTCTCATGTCTGGGTGTGACATGACAGGATCACTAGAGAAGTGAGTGTGGTCTCATGTCTTGGTGTGACATGACAGGATCACTAGAGAAGTGGGTGTGGTCTCATGTCTGGGTGTGACATGACAAGATCACTAGAGAAGTGAGTGTGGTCTCATGTGTGGGTGTGACATGACAGGATCACTAGAGAAGTGGGTGTGGTCTCATGTCTGGGTGTGACATGACAGGATCCCATGAGCAGTTGGCGTGATCTCATGTCTGGGTGTGACATGACAAGATCACAAGAGAAGTGGGTGTGGTCTCATGTCTGGGTGTGACATGACAGGATCACTAGAGAAGTGGGTGTGGTCTCATGTCTGGGTGTGACATGACAGGATCACATGAGCAGTTGGCGTGATCTCATGTCTGGGTGTGACATGACAGGATCAGTAGAGAAGTGGGTGTGGTCACATGTCTGGATGTGACATGACATGATCACTAGAGAAGTGGGTGTGGTCTTGTGACTGGGTGTGACATGACAGGATCACAATAGAAGTGGGTGTGGTCTCATGTCTGGGTGTGACATGCCAAGATCACGAGAAGTGGGCGTGGTCTCATGTCTGGGTGTGCTATACTATATGGTAACTTTGGTTGGGGTCTGGGAATTTTATATTTTTTTATTATTTTTGGAAAGGTTTCATTAATACAAAATATGCATGCAGTAAGTATGTTAATAATTTCAATGAGTTTTATGCCCATGTGTATATTAATATGTGTATTACCGTATTAAATCAGGGTAATTTGAAACGTTGTTTATACACAAATCAGCAAAGTTCTGATAGATGATAGAAGGTGTCGATGTTGATCCTTGTTCTAAATATGAACTGAAACAACGTGCGTGAGGTTTGGTGGAGGTGACAACCACCAACAGGGGGCGCAACTCCGTAGTGGTTGCACGGGAAGAAATGGGCGGTTAGTGTTGATAGAAGCGCGTGTAAAATACGTCACATCCGGAACAGATCACAGAGCGTGAATTTGGTTATGAATATTTATCCCCGCCCAAACGGGGAAATAGAAACGGACTCCATCCGTCACGTTTCGTTTCCGGGATATAACTCATGAATATTTCTTCATGAAACTTTGTAAGCAAAGATGTCGTACACCGTACATCTCTGTTTGGATTCTGGGCTTGTGTGGGGACACGGCTTGGTGTAAGAGGCGACTGATGGGATCGGGTGGTCAGGCTCGCTGACTTGGTTGATGCATGTCATCGATCCCAATTACGTGGATCGATGTTCATGATGTCAGTCACTGGATTGTCTGGTCCAGACTCTATTATTTACAGACCGCCGTCATATAGCTGGAATATTGCTGAGTGCGGCGTTAAACAACAAACAAACAAGTTGTGACTTGGTTGAGTTATATCGTACGTCGCTCATATTTCAAGGTTAATTAAAAGCAAAGAAGGCATAATATTTTAGATTATAAATAATTATGTATATGTTTGAAAATAGTATATGAAAGATATTGTCTGTTGAAACGTAGCATTACTAATTCATAGCTCTGGAAGGTTTTGACATTTAAAGAAAAGAGGGGATCATTAGTTTAGCCTTATCAATATGTCACTTGTACTCACAGGCTTAGGAATAACCTTAGTTGTTTTTTTATCATGAGATTTCTCACATATTAATACATTTTTTGTACACATATTTAACTGTGCGGTCGATATCGATGACTTTGTCTTCTTTTTGGTTATGTCTCTAAATTGTCCTAAATTAATATTTTAATATGTCGTAAACAGACGCACATCCCCGCATACCATCCCAATATCTCCAAAATGATAGGCACAGATGTTAGAAATACAATTTTAACACTTTATATGCAGTTACGCTTTCAAACATGTTTCCGCGTGTTTAACTTTAAGAGAAAACATACTTATTGTTAACCGTTTGCAATAGAGAATTCCCGAAAGCGCCCTGCCCAGTTCCCCTGGGGCAGCAATCACCGTACACAGTGAGGTAAAAACTAAACCTAATGGGAAATACTTATCCTCTGTTGATCAATCAGCAGCCGCTGAACACAAAGCCCACATGGGCCACAGTATTGTGCACGATTTACAGCGTCCTGCATATGTGCATGCGGGTGCACGGTGTCTATGAACGTACTTATAACTTAATATATGACCAGTCATTGAAACCGCCATACTTTTATCGCCCCCTGTGTGTACAGGCTAGCGCATAGGCGCAGCTGTATGCTATTTCAATGACGACTTATATTTTAGACGTGCTTTTTGAGAAAAAGTAACCTACATATCTTTGTACGTAGAGAACTATAGCAGACGACTTTACAAAAGCTCTGTCGGGAAGCCTGCTCAGAATACATATTCCTTCCTACCATCATTGATGTCTGAATATGTACTGATCTGATGTTTCCTAAAATTACAATTAATTTCCTCATCAGAGTGTCTTTCGTTGCCGTTATTCGTATTTTATTCATCATACATTTGCAACACCCTGGCTATGACGTCACCACCCAATGTGAGATGGACTTTCACAAAATTGATTCGGAAATTAAGACGGACACGGTTACCGAAATAGAGAGCGAAATGACCCGTCCTATAGCGCGGCCAGCGGCCACCGACTAGGGCCTAATCAGTATTTTATTTGAGGTTGTTTCCCGTGGTTTTGGCTGTAAAACACACTGATTGGAATTTACGGTGCCTGAAGATGGGAGAGTCGTATGTATTGATGTACATTGGCGAGACAGACTAGAAAAACAACTGCTACTCTTGTCTTAAAGGCGCACTACCTACACTGAGATGGGTAACGTTTTTGAGTATAGAACTGTTCCCTTAGAACAATGTAGCTCTTGCATGGAGCAAGACAGGTATATAGCGAAGTGGGATAATGTGCTTTTTTAATAAACGTATGGCATTCTACTTGATTCTAAAGTTTGAAAATCAACGAATTTGGATTTGTGCGTGATACAAAACAAATGAACGTCGTTTCATCTATATATCAGTTGCAGCGTGACCGGTGAGTTGCGCAGGTGGTAGTCATGCAGTTAAACTCATGAGAACGGTGAGGGTGCTGTCAAATAGAAATCAGTGTTAATCTGGGATTCAAACGTACAACCAGCCAACCTGGCCCCCAAGGGCTCAACACTGAAAATCAAAGTTGGAGTCCATGAAACAAATATAAGGGGCCATCGTGACTTGCATTATGCGGCCGTCTGCATTGATGTAGTTCGATGACGCTGCTGCTAAAACCAGCTGCCTTGGGTCATGTCCACTTTTTAACCAATTTTCAACCCAAATGGAGGTCGCCACATAGCACAAAAATATACTAAGATAAAACGAAAACATTATTACATCTGTATGGAAATAGATGTATATTGACCAATGTATACCCCCCATAGTTACCCAAAAGCATTAACAATTTCAGTGAACAATGAGAACATCCCTTTAGCCCGTCTTCATGGCGCGACCGTACAGGCCCTCACACTAACTTTAAAGGAATTAGCCCCAGCATTTCGATTGCAGGATGCAGAGCATTATTCGCCGGTCACATTTGCTGAAGGTGAAGTCAATTAGCATGGGCTGCTGACCGGCATGAAATATAGATGTTTTGGAGTGAGGTGCACAACCAGCGACGGTGTCGTTGCGACGTCTTCGTCCTCGGGCTCCCGGTCCAGCATGGCTGACTGGGCCCTGGCACCTGCCGCGCCCTCATCCTCATCCGCCTCCATATGGGGGTGGTCTAGATTAATACTTTTAAGACTTAAAGTTTGTTTTTTGTTTCTTGTTTAACGCCACACTCATAAATATTTTAGCTTTTTGACGGCGGTCTGTAAATTGTCGAGTCTGGACCAGACAATCCAGTGATTGACATGAGCTTTGAACCACGCTATTGGGATACGATGACATGCATCCAGCAG